CCAGAGCCCCCCAAGGAAGAGCCCGGCTGGATGAAGTCATGGCTGCCGCAGCCCTTACAAGCCTGTCCACCAGCCCCCTCCTGCTGAGGCCCCCCGCTACAGCCTTTAGCACAGGTGAGACTTAAGAGGCCTGGCATAGGGTAGGTGTGGGGGCAGGGCCCAGGGCCACTGTTCCTCTAGGACCTTAAAGGGGGGACAAGCAGAGCTCCCTCGCCTGCAATACAACCTTCTAAACACATGGATGTCAGGACCCCCAATCCCCTCACTGAGGTCAAAGCCTCAGTACACCAGGCCTGCAGGCATCTCCACCTGCTGGCTAGGCATCTTCCACTTATCCTTCCCTGTTTTAGGAGGTTAGTCCCCAAGCCGCCGCTGCCCTGGCCACCACCTCTCCAAGAGGCTATGTGCCCAGCAAACTTACCTGTGAATAGGTGAACGGGTGGAAGCTCAGAGTGAAGGGACCCACAGCCCAGTTTGTGCAAAGCAGCATGAGCCCGCTGAAATCCTGACACTGGCCTGGTGTGTCCCCACAGAGGCCTGCTTGGAGCCCTGGCCCGAGACCCTGGCACAGCCAGCAGGCAGTTACAGCAGCAGCAGCGGGGACTGGGGCTGGGACCCGGCCAGCGGGCAGTGCTCTCCCTTCTCCCCATCGCCCCCACTGCCCCTGGAGGCAGCCTTCCTGTTTGGGGAGCCTGCCCCTCGGAAAAGAAAGGTAAGCAAGCTGGGGGCAGCACTCAGGGTGGGATGGACCAGGTGGCCGTGCCTGACCACCAGCCCTTGTCGCCCAGAGCTCGGTGCAGGTCCTATTCCAGTGTCTGTGGAAGCGCTGTGGGAAGGTGCTGAGCACGGCCTCCGGGATGCAGAGACACATCCGCCTGGTGCACCTGGGGTGCGGTGGGGCCGGCAGGTTGGGGGTGGGGCAGGCCAAGTGGGTCAGCGCTTCAGCTCCCATCTGCTATGTCCCCAACAGGCGGCAGGCAGAGCCAGAGCAGAGTGATGGCGAGGAGGACTTTTACTACACGGAGCTGGACATTGGACTGGAGGTGCTGACTGATGGGCTGTCCAGCCTGACCCCGATGTCCCCCACGGCCTCCCTGCCACCCACTTTCCCCCACCTAGAGCTGCCGGAGCCCACAGCCTTGCCCAGCCTGCTGCACCCACTTGCCTTGCCCTCACCCCAGGTGCTGAGCTCTGAGGCGCCCCCCCAGGTGTGCCACAGTGACCACTCCTACCAGGTGGGTGAGGTCACAGGCAGCAGCTGGGGTTTGGTCCTGGGGGTGCTCTTGAGGGGAGTGAGACCACAACTGTGTTTCCTTTCAGGGCTGCCTGGCACCCACCCGGCTGCAGCCACAGCCCAACACAGTCCAGGACTGCGTGCCAGCCCTGTCCTCCAAGCTTAGTGCCAATCTGAGGTGCGTGTGTGTTGAGGGGCAGGTGGCAGGCAGGGAAGGTCCCAGCTCAACAGCACCCCACGTTCCCTGTGTTCCCCTAGGAAGCCCCGAGGTGACGCCAAGAAGTGCCGGAAAGTGTATGGCATGGAGCGCCGGGACCTGTGGTGCACAGCCTGCCGCTGGAAGAAGGCCTGCCAGCGCTTCCTGGATTGAGCCCTGCCGTCCTGCCTCCAGGATCCTTGATGGAGGAAATAAGCTGCACCCACCCCCTGCCTGGGGCCTCTCCTAGCTGCAGGGTCTGCTTTTTAATGGGGAAGGGGTCGTCAGTGACCCTGGACCCCCAGAGGTGGGGGAGGGCCCCACCACTCAAAGTGCCTCTGAGAAACCAGTCTTTCGCACTAAAGCCACACTGCCCTGGGGTGGCTGCCCTCCCTGACTGTCCTTGAACTTGTCAAGGGTCCTGATAGGCCCAGCTTCAAGGCCACGTGGGAGCCAGACCTGGATGCACTTTGAGGGAGGTCAAGAGGGACCTCCCCCGCTGCACTTATCCTGATGGTTCAAGGGCCCCCGGGCTGACATTTGTACTATGTTTTTGAAGCTCAGGTGTCACGTCTGGGCTGCACCAGGCGAGGAGAAAAATTAAAGATTTGGGGTTTTTCCAGAATCCGTGTCTGCCTCTTAGGGGGAAAGGACGTGGATCTGGGATCCTGCCACAGGCACAGTTGGTGGGTGGGCGGGCCCAAAAGGCCAGCAACTGGCCACAAAGGGCTGAGGTCACTCTGGCCCCCTCCACTCAGTTTGAGGCTACAGGAGGGGACCCTGTCTGAAACACACACAAGGCGTCTGCTTGAGCAGCAATTTCCCAGTTTATTGAAAGTGATCGCTTTGCAAGAATGTCTAAGCTAATCCCGTCACAGAAAGGAAACCGCAGGCAGGCCAGAGCCCAGGCAGACAAGAAATCGCAAGACCACTAGAGAAGGTACTGTTCACCTGTTCTATGGCTACAGAGAAGCGAACAACAGCTCTGGTTCCCCCGACTGATGACAAAACCTCCTCCCCCAAATATTAAACACATCTCCAATGCCAACACAGGTTTATAATAATTAATATAAAGTCAATATAATATAGATTATCCCCAGGAAAAAATCAACAATCTTCGAGCACTGCCCTTTTTTTGTCTCTTGTTTTTGTTGACAGGTTGAAAGCATGTTGAAAAAATAAATATTTAAGAAAAGCACACACACAGCACCCTCACTGCAAGTAGTTCTAAAAGGGCTGTATACAAAACACAATATAAGATCTAAAAAATAAAAAAACCATTAAGTATGGCTTTAAAGAGTTGCACATGTCACAGAATGAGTGAAAATAAGATTATTTTTCATCATATTGCAAAAAGTTCCAGTTTTTGCATTTTCTCCATTGTTTATAAAGAAAGAAGTGCAAAGTTGGAAGTAGTAGCTCTACCTTTCAAGTCGAGGTCCCTACTAAGTCCTGGCAGTGTTGTGACGGTTTCCCAAAAACCCAGGGTCCAAATGAACACCCTCGTCAGGATCCAGAGCTTAATACAAAAGTCCGTGGGTTCCCTGCCCCACCCCTGACGGACACACCACCCAGCAGGCTGTTTTCCACTTTGGTGTTGCCAACACCAAAACCAGACAGACACTGAAGTACAACATGTGAAATGTGGTCTACACAGGTTTTCCTCTTCATAAAAAAAATATTTATTAGCTTAAACATTGATTTGGGGAAAAAAATCAGTCACATAGAAAAACTCCTCCTGACACACGACACACATCTTTCCCGCCACACCTGAGAGGCGATAGGTCCATCTCCATCCCGCCAACAACAACCTGGGGACTCGGTGGGACAGGACTCCGGCCCTCGGTTTTCCAGTACAGTGTTGGTTTTAAAGAAGAAAGTGCGCCTGTGATACAGACAGCGAACCCCCCAAAGGTGAGCAGGGGCGGCGAGCAGGTCAGAAAGAGCACGGCGCCCTGCGGGAGAGGTGGACGGCCGCGCGTGGACGGCGCCCTGCGGGAGAGGTGGACGGCCGCGCGTGGACGGCGCCCTGCGGGAGAGGTGG